AGAAATGAAATGGAGCACCTAACTAAATTTTTACCTAAACAGGCAGTCTTCTGAGGGGAAACTCTGAAAGGAAAAAAATACTGTTTAGCCCTTTAGGAAGCAGGAAAAGAATATCCCAAATGCCCTAAACTAAGACTTCACCAAGTCCCTATTGGTAGATTTAAATTTACTGAGTAAACTTATCCTAGGAGCAGAGTCATGGGATTTGACATATTGTTAAGGTACCCCATCTTGGACAGGTAGCCTATCTTTTACTGAGTAAGAAAGAAAGGGAAAGAGGGAAAGGTCGGGGGAGAGAAAGAGAGAGAAACAGAGATGGAAAGAGATAAACACACACACATGGAGAGGGATGGTGAAATAAACTAGGTTGGTGAGAAGAATTAGTTTGAAATCATACAACCTGTCTGCACTCAGAGCAAAGCGCTAGAAATTTGAGTTGTTAACAGAGCAAGGCAGGAAGGAAAACAATACAATGAACAGTTGCAGTTGTTTATTCTCTTTATGACTTTACTATGGCCACTGTTAAGCAGCTGCCAGGAATTTGCTAAGCCTTGTGGAGAGGTAATGGGGCAATGGCAGAAGAATGGGAAAGAGAAAATTAATAGGAGAGAAAACTCATTATATCTGCAGAATTCACTTGGTAGTATAAATTGGCCAATAAACATTGCCTGGTCTTGAAAATATTTTATAAACATTTGTCATTTTATTTACTCTGATCGGTTAAATTTTTCCTTAAAGAAACATCTGATAAAACGTATTCAGTGCTATTTTTTGGCAAAAATGTATTCTCAGTACTGATATGCATTGACACACAGATTTTTGGTGGAAGAAAAGGTTATGACCTGTTTCTGCAAAGGCTATAGCCAAAAAGGCCCACGTGGTTCTCATGAAGCAGACCTGACTTAATGGTATAAGATTAAAACAAGAACAAAATAACACAATAACACACACACACACACACACACACACACACACAGAGAAACTTCTATGTTGTCATGTACTACCCAGTCAATCAACTCATAAATGACCCTTCAGCAGGTTTTCAGAGGTAGTAAACTGCACAGGAAGAGACTCCATTTTTCTGGGTTGGCAGAACAACTCCTTAATAACAAGCCACCCGAGCTCCCTTTTACAGATATCCATAGACATGTATTTACACATATACATATGTACATTAAGAAAGCCTCTTTGGGATGCAGCTTGGATCAAATGCATCTGTTCATTCCCTATCAATGAGATGTTCCAATCATTTGGAATAATCTTCAGTAATATTTTATTTGCATGTAATATTAATGACATATTCTGATAATTTCTACATGGTGTTGGATCACTGTTTTAAAGGGAAAAAATGGAAATGAATATTGATCTCTTGCAGTTGATCATGAAGCTGTCTTCCAAATTTCTTGTCATAGGCAACTGAGCAAGAGGCATGCAAAGAGCTGTAGTGAGGAAACCAAAGGAGAAGAGCATGCTTAGCTTTTCTTAAGCTGAAAGGACTGAAGAATAAATTCAAATTTTGAGGTGAAATTCTGAAAGACTGTATGAGCAAAATAAAAATATTTAAAAAATTTTTTACATTGACTTGCTTATAAAGTTTGTAAATATTTTTCCTTTATCCACATTGTGTTTCATTCAATCATTCCCATTCATTATATTTTATAAAATTAATAATCAATGAATTTTATGAGCAAAATATTCTATGATGCAGAAAACATCAAAAGAAAATGGAAGGAATACAGAATCATGGTTACAAAAAAAATTGATCTATATGGGACTATTTCCTGAAGTAGCATATTATCAAGAACCAGTGGTAACGAGGGAAGAAGTTCAAACAGCACTGATGGCATTGAAAAAAATAAGGTTCCAGGAAGTGATTGAACATTAATTGACATGTTGCCAAAGCAGATGTAGCTGGGCTTTCAGTAGCTGCTCATAAACTGTATAGAGCCACCGAGAGAGAGAGAGAGAGAGAGACATTGGCTATAACACGGTAGAGATTGTGAGGATTTCACAGGACGGGGCAAGGATTAGATCTGCTGGTCATTGGGAGGCTATGAGTTGTAGTTGACTCAATGGCACCTAACAGCAAATGGACTTGAGCTATATCAATGGTCATGAGGGACAATGTTGTACTTGCGGTTGTCATGACTGAATGGCAACTATGCATAAGGAGCCCTGGTGTCATAGTGTATTTTGTGTTGGACAGCTAGCCAGAAGGTCAGAACCTAGTAGACCTTACTCAGGAGAAATATGAGCAATTTTCTGTAACAATTTACATCCTTGGAAACTGTGGTGATAAGAAGCACCTGGTACTTCAACTAGTTGATGCACCAAAACTTTCTCTGAGGGAATGACATTTGAGTTGAAATCTGAAGAATGAGTGAAACACTTAACCAGAGAGGACATCCTAAGTTCCAAAAAGATGAGCATAAAATCCCTGAAGCAAGATGGTATTGTTATTGTTGTTATTATATGCTTTTGAGTTACCTAGGATTCATAGTGACCCTACGAACAATGGCTCTGAACATTGTCCTGAGCCACTTCACCATCTCTTGACATACCTGACCCCACTGCCATAGTCACTGTGTCAGTCCCTCAGATCCAGGGTCTTACTCTCCTGTGCTGACCACCCTTCCAAGCATGATGTTCTTCTGCAAGGATTTGCATCTCTGACAGTATGTCCAAAATATGTGACAGAGAGTTTCCAAACCCTTGCCTCCAAGGAGGAACTTGTTTTTACCCTTTCCAGGTCAGACCTGTTCTCTTGGTAGTCCATGGTATATTCAATACTCTTCTCCAGCATCACAACTCAAAGGCATTGGCCCTTCTTCTGTCATCCTTATTCATTGCCCAGCTTTCAAAAGCATAGCAACCAACTGAAAAGACCATGGCCTGGATCAAGAGCACCTTAGTCTCAGGACTGACATCGTTGCTCTTGAACACTATGCAGAAGTCCCTGACAGAAGATTTTCCCAATGCAACTTGTCTTTTGACAAGACGTGGGGGGATTGAAGGCAGAGGAATGTTGTAGACCATGTTAATAAGTAATGATGACCTTTATCCTCATAGCAAGAAAAAGCTCTGAAAGGGTTTCAATAAAAAATGTGCCATGAAGGATTTTAAGTTTGGAATTGTTTTAATGTCTATTTAATGCCTTAGAATGAGAGAGGACACTGGAATATTAGCTAGGATTCCACAGCAATACAAGTGAGGGTGGTACCAGTGAGGACTATTATGGAATTGGAGGTGGAGAGAAGCAGATTTTGACAAAGTTAGGGGGGTAAGTGGAAGGATTTGGCAATGGACTGGATTGAGACTCGAGTGGGGAAGAGGGTTATGAAGGTGTAGTTGGTAAGCAATGTAGTTAATCAATGAACGCCTCTTATGCGGAAATCGATACATTCGTCAACAACCTTTTTGAAATTTTATTCCAGGAATATTTTTAAAGCCAGGATTTCTTTACTACAACAAAGATATGTAACTAAATCAGATAAAACCATTCTAACCTGAAGCACTTGCTGCGGATTAAAGACTTACAGCCTTCAATATGGATCTTAACATCAAGAAGACAAAGGTCCTTACTCCTGGGCTAGTGGGCTCCATCCTGATAGATGAGAGAAAGAACTGAAACTGTTAATTATTTTTTCGTGCTTGGATCCACAATCAACACCTTTGGCACCAGTAATTATGAGATAAGGAGATGTAATGCTCTGGGCAAGACCACTGTCAGGGACTTCTTCAAAATACTGAAGAGCAATGATGTCGGTTTGAAGACTAAGGGGCGCCTGATTAAGGCCATGGCCTTTTCAACTAATTACTATGCATCTGAGAGGTTGACAGAAAAAGAAATGGCTTTGAGTTCTGGTGTTGGAGAATAGTTTTGAGTGTCTCATGGGCCGCCAAAAGAATGAACAAGCATGTCTTGGAAAAAAAGCGAAGCCTGAGTGCTCCTTGGAAGCAAGGATGGCAAGTCTGTCTCTCACACTTTGGACATGTCGCTAGGAGAGGCTTTTACTTGGAAAAGTAAATTATGGTTGGAAAAGTGGAGGGTTAGTGAAAGAGGAAGACTCCCATGGAGATATACTGGCCCAGTGACTGCAGCAAGGGTTAAGTCAAATGTGATCAGGCTGGCCAAGGGAGGATAGGAGAGGACTCCGATCTGTTGTGCTTAGGGTTGTTAGTATAATTTTCCTAGGAATAAACAAGCGCTTATAAAGTCAAAGGACTTTGTAAGTCATTTGTAAAGCCTTTTTCAAACCTCACAGTAGTCAACTAAATAAATACACTACTGAAAACACCCATCTGAAAGTTTCTCAGTTTGCAATTTTTAACCAAATTCATCTGAGGGTCCTTAGGATCTTTTTTTTATAAAGGAAGACGTTGGTTTGATCCTGCGTTTGAACTTGGAGGGGCTTTGTCCAAGGTGGGTCAAAGTCCTTCCACGGTGGGGTACGTTCCCGCCAACCCTCAGCGTTCACCCACGACCCCGCCCCAGCCCCGCCCACTACCGCGCCCAATCCCCGCCCCCCAGCCCCGCCCCAAATCCGTACGTCACCTACGCCCCTCCGCCAGGTCCTCTCGCGCAGGAACTTTAGCGGCCTTTTGGACGCCCCGCCCCCTGGCTCTACCCCCTCCAGGTCCCGCACGCAGGACATTGAGGAAGTTCCTAGAAGCCCCGCTCATAGCTCCGCCCCTCGCGCCTGAGAGCCCGCCCCTCACGGTCCCGCGCACAAGGACCATAGGCCGATTCCAGAGGCCCCGCCCCTGGCCCCGCCCCCAGTAGTGCCGCTCGGGACCCGCGCGCGGGGACTTGGTGCGTTTCATCCACCCCTCTCCGCTGGTCCTGCGCGCCGACCCCGCCCCCCAGGAGTCGGGCGGGTGAAAGCGCGAGGACTGCTGCGGCCGTACCTGCGGTCGGGTCCCGGTCCCGTGCCTTCCGGGCTGTTTCCCGAGTCGCACTCGCCTGTTCTCCCAGCTTGTTTTCCCGCGAAGGCGGGGCGATGCCGCGGGACCGGCAGCCGAGGGTCCACTCCGGGAACGAGGTTCGCCCTGCGCCCCGCATGGAGCCCGCAGGTGGCGGGGCCTGGGCCCACTGCCGCGCCGCGTTCGACCAGCTGGAGAATCTGCTGCGCTGCTCGCGTTGGTAATGCATTCTCGGGGTGAGCGGGGCACTTTTCAAACTTCTGTGCCTCCCTGCGGCCGGGCGTGCACATAGTCCCTCCCCACGCTTCGGGCCTTTGTTAATTGCCCCCTGGGGCCCTTTACCACCCTCTCGGGGTGGATTTCTAAGTAATTGCACCCAAACCAGCTAAAAGAGTAGTTGTATTGCAGCAGGCTGAGGAATCGCCTGGAGCTAAGGCTAGGAAGAGCAGCTGCTGGTTGCTCGCCGCGCCTCCAAAATTTGCGCTGTAGAGGGTCAAGTTGAGGCTTCTTTTTTTAAACCAGATCCCGCGTAATTTTGATGTGCGCTATCTCTGAAATTTAAAGTGACAGCTGCGGCGCTGCCCTACAGACCTGCTAAATTTGAACCAGCTGTCACTGTTTGCGGAGCTGAACCCTTCTGACATTTTTCCCATGTCTTCTTTTATTTGGGTGGGGGAGCTTTCTGGAGGTGGAGTGGAGATGTCAGTGGGCTGAACACTGCCACTGCCTTTCGATTTCCCATTTCCTGTTCGATTCTCTTCTGCCCTGTGGGGTTCCTGAATCAGCTCCACTGCACTGAGGATTAAGTTATCAAAAGACTGTGTATGCCTGGAGTTCCAACCCTGTTTAAAATGTAGGACTCGAAAGGTGCTATTTATTATTACTTTTCTTTCTTTTTCTGATTTGTTTCACCGTGGGAGTCCTCTTGGTTCGGGGGTTTTTATTTCACCGGAAGGCACTATTTTCATGAATGGCGCCCCTTGCCTTGCCTTTTCTAGTTCTTTTACACAGGGGCCTGGATCTTTTCATTTCTTCCAAAAGCATTTATTGAGCACCTGCTGTGCGCACAACCCAATACTTCTGCAAGGCAATCGTTCTGAGGGCTTTTCTCTCTGCTGGTGGCTGTCCTGGCTTACTCTTCTTAGCTTTTTTGTTTTCATTTTTGGTGTTTTGATTTTCTTTCCCTTCTGATTTCCAGCTGCTGAACTTGGTTACTGTTATTTGACAGCGCTTTCTTGAAAACTGGAAAGGATTTGCTACCCCAAGTTTTCCAAAGTACCAAACCCTGCTGGAGGCATTAGTGATTGATTTGGGAACTCACCAACTCATTGACAGTTTGATTCCCACTTGTGGCACCCCAATGGTACAGGCTCCAGAGATGTTGTACTTAGTAGGGTCGCTATGAGTCGCAGCCTTAACAACAGCAACAAAGATTTTAGGCTTAGTTGCCTGATAGAAAGTTAAAGGAAATACTCTTTGCAAAGGAGAATCATCTTTTCACCCATCGTAGGGCTGAGGAGGGGATTTGAACCACCTTTCAGTATACAGCCCAGTACTTAACACACTTCATTACCGGGACATCTTTTAGTGAACAAAGGGAAAAACCCCTGTTCTTAGGAAATAGTCTATTAGAGGACGGAAACTTGATCCATTTATATAAAGTGTTGAGTAAGTAAAGTTATAGGTAACTGTTATTAGAGAATGCAAAGTATTTCACCCGCCCATTGCCAGCTAATGGATCACTTGAGTTCTGTGCCAGGGAACCTTAATGGAAACTGTCTTTAACAGGTGTGGCTAGTAGATTTGAACCACACTGAAACCACCTGGGCTTTCTTTGTAAAAACATAAGAAGTAATCTTTGGTCAGTGAGAAATCCCTTGATAGTTACAACAGGAGGTATGAGAGGAAAATAAAAGATGGAGCATATAATTGAAATCTGTTGGTGGTTCTAAACTCAGGAAAAAAGCCTCAACCACAGTTTACTCTCTACCAGATAGTTTCTTTTTACCAGTTACTCACTAAAGTGAATAAAGAGAAACAGCAGTAATTATGTTCAGACTTAGAAAATAAGGATCCTTTTGGTGTCTGAAAACTTAATACCATACAGTCTTTGTTTTTAATATATGAATCAGTAGTGGTAACTAAGTCTTTTGAATTTGTAGTTTAACATAGACTTCTGCAAATCTCCCCCCCCCCTTAAAAAAAAGTCATTGATTTTGCATTGGGAAAATCTGCTGTTAGCGACCTCTTCAGAGTAATGAAAAGCAATGATGTCAGTCTGGAGACTAAGGTGCCCCTGATCCAGGCCATGGTCTTTGTAATTATTTGCTATGCATCAGAGAGCTGGAAAATGGCTAAGGATGACAGAAGAAAAAATGATGCCTTTGAATTGTGATGCTAGCAAAGAATCTTGAACATATACCATGCACTGGCAAGAAAACAAATCATCTGTCTTGGAGAGGGGGAAACCAAGTTTTTCCTTGGAGGCTGGGATTTTGAAGCTCAGTCTCATATACTTTGGGCATGTGGCTGGGAGGGACTGGTCCTTGGAGAAGGATATCATGCTTGGAAGCATGGAGGGGAGAGCACAGGAGAAGATGACCCCCGATGAGATGGATTGATACAGTAACTAGGGTAAGGGGGGAGGTGTGTTGGAATCAGTGAGACTAGCACAGGACCAGGGCAGGCTCCAGAGATGATGTACTTGGGGTTGCTGTGAGTCACAGATGACTGCAGCCGTAAGAACAAGAGCAACAAATATTTTAGGCTTTGTTGACCAGTGTCTGGATTGCATCATCATCTTCGTATTTTATAACTCTTTAGAAATGTAGAAACTGTATTTTTCAACCACTGCCGTTGAATTGGTCCTGATTCATAGTGGCACTCCTTGAGATTTCAGGGGCTGCATGTTGGAGTTAGGCCCACCTTTCCCTCCAAGAGGTGCTGGTGAGTCAAACCATTTGACCATTGATGACGCAGAGCCTGTAGTTTGGTGTCACAGCTCGCCACCAGCCATGCCACCAGAGCTCACCTAGAAAAACAGACTTGGTGCTAGATTTGGCTGGCAGGCTGTGTCGTTTGCAGAACTCTGCTTTAACAAATGAAATGTGTCGAGTAGAAAAATCCTTTTTGGTATAAAATTTTATATGACATGGGTGCTTGAGAAATGATATTCCATTCTCTCTTGATGTTCTCCCAAGGGTGGTGGCTTCTGTAACTCCTGGGTGGTGCATACAGTTCAGTGCTTGCCTACTGAAAGGTTGCCGGCTCGAACCCACCTACAGGTGCCGTGGAGAACAGGCCTTGTGATCTGCTTCTGGAAGGTTGCAGCCTTGAAAATCCTGCTTTATCAGTTTTATATGCTGCACACTTGATGTCCCTGTGAGTCGGTCTCATTAAACAGCATCTGGCAAGCACAGAGTGAATCAAGTACTCCGAGGAAGAAGACAGTTCTCTCTACCCATGGGCTTGCTAAACCGTTGACTTCACTATGAATGGAACAGCTCAGGATGGTCTGCGTCTCTTCTCGCAGCCCACCGTTCAGTACAGTTTCCTATTTGAAATTGTGTGTCAGGATGTCCTTTCACAGACTTGCAGAGCTCTGCCCAGTGGGCTGGTGATTACCCCGATTACCCTCACATTCAGCATGCAGCTGTCATCCGTCTCATGCTCCCAGCTGTCATCTGTCATGTGCAGCACATTGGAGCTGGTGTGCAGCAAGGCTCACTTGCCAGTGAGGGTAAATTGGCTACAATACAGGGCATCCTTTCTTGACCTTTAACGTAAGTATGGCGTCAAGGTGAAGCTGATGAAACTATTCGAGAGGCCAGATGTGACATTTATGTTGGTGCCAAGCCTCCCAACCAGATAAAAGCTATTTAAAGATTTGGAAAAAAGAAACAGGAAGGCCACATCGCTGGCAGAGAGTCCAGATAATGTGCTGGTACAGGAAGCAGGAAGTAAAAGACACAGCAGAGTGTGTGTGGGCCCTGGGTCATAAGATGCTACTTTATGAATGAAAATAATTAGGTGCCTCTTGATGTATTGTGGGGACAGAAGTTGACATCTTGTAGATAATTGTAATGTAGTGTCCCGGGGCCTTTTTAATCAGTTTTTAGGAACAAGTTAAAAAGCCATTTTGTGACTTTCTGAATAAATGATTTTGTTCTCTACTTGAATTTTTTTCTGGTTTTAAAGAATATCAAAGCTTTTCTTTTTCCTTTTTTACTTTGAAGCAACATAGTTTAGTGATTAAGAGTTTGTATTCTCAAGCTACTCCAAGTCCAAAGCTTGGTTGGGACTTGGGAGAGGTTATTTAATCTGTATGCTTTTTCTCTTTCCCCCCCCCCCCCAGCCATTTATGAAATGAGTAGTGTCTGTCAAATGAGGTTATTTTTGCAAAAAGCCAAAACCTGTTGATCCTGTGATAATTCAGGCACTGGCACCTTGCGAGTTGCAGACTAGAAATGGCCCACAGGTTTTCTCGTGTGTAATTGCACTGGACCTGCTGCAAGAAGTGCCAGGTCACTTCGAACCGTCAACCTCAGGTTAGCAGTCAGCACTTTACAGTTGGTGCCACTCAGGCACTTTGAAGAAAATCAAACCAAACCCGCTTCTTGCAGAGTTGATTCCTACTCATGGTGACCCTTCATTGGGTTTCCCTGGCTATAGAGCCAAGTGCTAGGAGAGAATGAATCCTTTTCCTTCTACAGAGTGACTGGTGAGCTTGAACTGCTGACCTTTTTGTTGGCAGCCCAAAACATAAACATACTGTGTCACCAACACTGCTTGTTAGGTGATTCGATACTGTTGCGTTGACCCCTACTCAGCTAGCCTTTACAACAGAAAGACCCGCAGCCCGATCGATCCTTGGCCATCTGAACACTCACCACTGCATCTGAGCCCAGTGCTGCAGCTGCCCTGTCTTCCCATCCCCCTGGGGTTTTCCTCCTTTAACAGGGCATTTGCAAAGCGTCCTTGAGTCAGCTCCGACTCCCAGGGACCCTGTGGACAGTAGAATGAAATTCAGCCCAGTCCTGTGCTATCCTCATGACCTGCTGCCGGTAAACCCGTGGTAATCACTGCATCGGCAGCTCTTCCAAAACTGGTTTGATTCCTTCCAAGCTGTTATCCTTCCAGGCCTATCTCATGGTCTTTAAGGGCCCCCTATTGCAGAAGTCAGTGGCCCGTCCTGTTACTGTAGTAGTTGCTGAAGCCCGT